GACAAAGTATGTTTCTATAATTTACCTCAGTGAATTAAAAACTAATAGCCTATGAATTTGCTATTATTTCTCTGTTACAGATAAGGAAATTTAGTCTCACAGAGGAATAGTGAGTTGTTCAAAATTACACAGAAAGTACAAGGCAGAGTGTGAAATTAAGGGCTCGCCTCTTGAGACTCTCAAACAGACCACAAATTTGGCTTTTCCTTTTTCAAAGTTGCTGTGTGTTTTTCTCCACACTTGATTTTTGAATAGCAAACAGTAAGTGCCTTCTTTTTGCTCTAGCATTAGGTAGTCTAACACTCTACTTCCAAAAATATTACAAGTGGAATTGAGCAAGCATTCTAAATATCCCAGCTATGAAATATAGTGTGTTTGATGATGTGAAAAATTCTTTGTGTAAATGCATGTATCATTTAAGTGAGAAGATTTAAACTTAAGCTGTATTAATCTAATATGACTTGTTATATTAGTGAAATCACGAAAACTTCCAACAAAGCACGTGTTGATTTGGGGTGACTACAATAAATATTTAGTGAATGTATTTTTCACTTTTCAGCTGATGGTTGTATCTCTGGTTTTAAGAATATGTAGAAATTGAATGTACCAGCAACTTGCTGAAATCATGATGCAGTTCCCCGACTCTTAGCAATTGAAACCATGGCTTCATGAAGATCTCCTCTTATTTCAGTTATATATGTGCTGAAATTTTTTTAAATACTACTTTCTTTTTTCAGCTTTAGGTGAAAAAGTCATGTCCCCCAAAATATCCAAAGGAGTGTAACTTACATTTCCTAAGATAAAACATATTGATACTACTAATGTAGAGAATGTGCTATAAAAATAAAAGTACATAGAGGTATTTGTATACGTGAATATTTTTATACAAAATCAGTATATAGAATAGAGGGACCAGATGTTTTCATTTGACAACTAAGAAACAAAAGTTATGCAGCCTCTTGAAAGAATGGGATACTTTCCTAAAATATCTGAGCTGGTACTTAGTATTTATAAAAGATTAACAGAAGATCACCTTTAGATCCTTTTCATTTCAAATCTAAATCTAAAGGACTTTTATTTCATCCAAGTCGTTTAATAGGCAATTATTGATATTAGCTGCTAGTTGTAGCAGCATGTGATGATGACAAAAAGATATACCCTGAACACTTGAAATTAAAGCTCCATTCTAGAAATGAAACTCAGGGAAAATCAAAGAGGTGAAGTCATTACACCTTTCAGATCACCTAAGTGACTGAAGAGTTTGGGAAATACCTCCCTCCCCCATTCAAAGAGCAGGATGTCTTTATTACGCTATACTTGTATTAGCACAAAGGTATAACCTGATCGTTTGTGTTATACCCATTGTGAAGTAAGCATATAAATTGAAAAGGTTTGAATAGTCTTGAAAACCAACAATCAAAGAAAAAAATTTGCCTAGAAAGTATTAATTTTGTTTTCCTGCTATTATATTTTAGTAAACGTTTTTTTGAGAACCAGACTCCCTTTTTCAAACCAGAATTTGAAATGAAACAGGTAAAAGCAGAGGGGCTCTGAAGGCCAGGCCCAGGAACCCGGCATCTCCCTCACACTGCAATTGGCCTGAGGCAACTTTGCAAAACCAACGTGCTTCCAGGAATTTGTTTTGAAAACCATCACTCTAGCAAGCATAACCCCCAAGCCAAGGCAGAAAAGGACGTTAATTATTGGAAGAAAGCATGGGGACACTAGCTAATTAGTACTTCTCTGATTTTGGGTGCATAAAACAATCTTTCATGAAAATGTTGATTAGAATATTCTGGTTTGCTCTGAGTTTGTAGTTTATACTTTTATCAACAAATTGACATTCTGTTTTTTATATTTCATATATCAGTTTCATATGAGAATGGATAATTTGGGTCCATCCCTGAGAAACTGATTATTCTTGTGCTTGCTGTAGTATTAAATTTTTCAAGAGACAAAAAACAGCCTTTGTTCCAGGAGAGCTGAGGCTACACAACTTGGTGAGGTAGGGGGGGTGTAGGGAGGTGTCGGGACCTCACCAAAGGGGTGCCAATCAATCTATGGTGTCTTTGAATGATTAACATTCCTTTATTGATTGAAGTGATGGGTCTGGGATCAAGTCTAAAAGGCATCTTTTATGTTTACTCCTGGTATTTCTTAGAAGTTACATGAAAGGATGATTACCTTTTAGTAGGGAAAAAGAAACATTTGTTTTACCCTAGTCCTTAAGCATTATTCATCTTTGAGAATTTCTTTTAAATTTACAAACCTATTAGTTCTGCCCAAATATTGTTTCTTGAGGACCACTCTTGTAAAATACTGAGTTTTGTGAAGTGGCAGTTTGTAAAATAGTAGTACTTATAACTCTGAAGACTCTGTTTCTAATATACATGGCATAAAAATGCTGGAAATAAGCTATTTTTATTCTCTAAACAAGCCCATCCTTTTATATATATTGCCTTGAGTTTTCAAAATACTCTGTGTAGGATTGTTTATTAATGTGTGGTCTTCATTCCTTGAACTGTAAGATAAATTACACTTTTTTCTTTGTTTTCCCTCAAGCAGAAATTTGACTTTTCTACTATTTACTGTAGCTTCTCAACTTTGTGTATACCTTATTCTAGAGAGTTGCATGTATAAAAATACAAATAAAAAGCCAAAAGTTCACTTTAAAAATATTCAGTTGAAATCTCCTTTTGGTTTAAATATATTTTAATTTTACATCTCATTTAATAATTTGATCAATAAGTCATTTGTGTTTTTTTACTTATAAAGAGCTTTACTTACATCATTGTCCACAAATGGAAACATAGCTAACACATATTGAATATTGAACTATGTGGTGACTGAGAAAGATTCAGATATTTTTAACATCATCTCACCCATGGGTATCACTTTAGCATATGAAAAGAGTACAGAAGAATGGATTAAAAAAATAAATTCTATGTTCTATTACAAGGGAAAATATATTTTTACATCATGTTTTTAATCTTTATATTTGTTACTTTCCTTGGACACCTAATCTTTTGTATAATGTAAGGACAAAATACTGGTTCTGAAATAGGTTAATGTCCATAATGATAACATGATGATGCTCATCATCAAAGAACACTCAACTGTCAAATAATCTGAATTCTCTCTGGATCTCCTGCTACCATGGATGCATGATAATAAAGAAATGCTATATCCTTATGAGTATTTTCCCCCCAAATTGGCATAATAAATTTCATATTGTCCTCAGCATGATTCAGTAAGGCTAAAATAATACCTGTAAAAATAATTTTGTAGAAACCATAACACTAATGCAAGGTGTTATTATTCTTCTTATAGAAGCAGAATAATATATTGGTAATCTATATAGGTGCCAAAGCCAGACTTTGAATCAAATCACAATTCTTACTAGCTGTTTGGCCTTGGGCAAGCTACTTCCTATCAGAGGGCCTCGGTTTTCATCTGTAGAACAGCGCTAATAACAGTCCTTACATAATAGTGATTTCATGAGGATTCAATGAAATAATAATGTAAAGTACTTAAAAACAGTGCCCAGGATTGTAGGTGTTCCTTACTCTAATATAATAATATTTAAATATCTCATGTAATATCCAATTTTAAATTACTCCGATGCTCGCTTCAAAGCATTCAAAGTTTGCTAAAAACAATGCAGACAGAAGTTCACTGGTTCAGATCACAAATGACCTCATGGAAGAGATTTGTTCCCTTTTAGAAAAAGGAGGTCATGAGGGCACTACCTAAGGCTACAGGAAATCCCCCAAAATATTCTAAGCTCCTTTCAAGCTTGTGGCACCATCTTTCTGGACCTTACAAGTTCAAATTACTTTTAAAGAAATCACTTAGTTTTTCCTCCTCCCAGGAATATTTCCATTAGGCTCATCATTTGATCAAAATGAAGACTTCCCAAACCATGGCAGTTTTCAAGATTAAGTTTCTCTATTCCTGGTTTTGAATTTGTGGGAGATGGCCCCCTTTTCTCTCCTCCCCCAAAAATCTCTGGGTAACGTTTACGGTGATGACAGGGCTTCACAGGAAATCCTAACTGAAGGTAATAGCATGATACATTAAATGGTGCCAGTATTCCATTTAACATTAAGCATATTAGGCTTTTTAAATGCCTGACTTAAAAGTGATACATTAATATTGAGTACACTACTACTTGAAAAGTTCATTCTACTTATTTCCAACAAACACTATTTAAGTGCCAATCTACTATCACAAGAGTTTACTATTTTATTCTTGCTCCAAAATGGCATCAACAGTGATGGGGTGCTTTCAGGGGATTGTTGAAGAGAATTTTTGCAACAAAGGGGTGAGCTTGAGGCAATGCAGACTATCAGCTATAGGCATGCAGTGCTTTATCTCAGCACTCCTCAAAGCTACACACCCCCTAATCAAACAAGCCACTTTATTGTATGCACAATTGTAACTGAAGTGTACCTGACTTCTGCACAACTGGCTTCCACAGGATTTCCTGTCCAAGACTCCCTCCCCGTGTGGTCATCTGTGACTAAATGGTTACAGATTATCATCAAGTTAACAAGGCATCCCACCCCAATATTTTTGTGTTTCAAAAACAAAGGAGTGGAAGTGACCAAACCCTGTCATTTGCAGTTCTCTCTGGACTCCTTGTATTCCCTTTCTTTTCATTGGGTGAGAAGAGAAAAACAAAATCAGACAACAACCCTCCCTCAGTAATACCTATTTGTTCAAGGTGTCATTTCCTTGTGAGGCTATTTACAGGTTTCTTACTGCTTAGCGTGTCTTGCCTGGTAATTACTGCCTGAAAGAAACGTGCTCTTGCAGGGCGAGCTGTTTCTTTAACCCCTTTGGCCCGCTCTTGCTGGGTGGCTCGCAGGGCTTGCTGCAGTGCCCGGAAACCCACCTAGAGGGCCCCCTTGACGCCAGCACATCCCCTGTCAGGCAGCCGTCTCCGCAGCCGAGTGGGGCTGCTGCAGAGTTAATGCACAGTACCAGGAGCCCGCAAGTGTCCTGAGCTGCTCAGAGCCGGGCGGCGCAGCCCAGGGCAGACGCTGCGACGATTGCAAAGCTTCCGATGGAAATTCGGCGCTGGGCGACCCCAGCAGGAGCCTGTTGCCATTGTGTTTTTAAAGCATGCAAGGTCTGTATAGCTTGGGCATGAAAACCTTTCAGAAGATGTCAGAGCATCAGACTAAATGACACCTATTGAGGAATTGAATTGGGGTAAGAAAAGAGAGAGAGAAAGGAAAGAAAGAGGGGGAAGGAATTCTTAGACAACGTCGGACTTGCGGCTGTAATACTCATTTTCTTTCCAAGGCAAAATATGAGAAGCCCGCACATGGCTTTGGTAACAACAAATTAAAGGGGTTTCTGCAGTAAAAGGATCAATAGCTTAGTCATTTTACTTCAAGAAAGCAGACAGCCGTATTATGGGGCTAGGCAGCAGAAATGAATTTCCTCGTGGCATCTTCTGAAGTCATGAAGGTAGCTAATGGTAATCCTGTCCTGCAAAGCAGAAATCGCTCACCGCCTTCCTACTTCTGCAGTTGAGAACCAGGAATTTTGAGATTCGGGAAGAAGTTGGCTCTGGTTATACATGGTTTCTAGGTCCTCTACCCAGGTCTTTGTCCGACAAGTCTCAGAAGGCAGCGCTGTATTAAAGTGACCACTCATAGAATATGAGCCTAAGAAAGAAGAAAAAGCAATATTCATTCCCAAAGGACAGCATGGCCAAGCAACCTGAAGTTTTCCTTTTCCCTTCTAGCACTTCTTTAACAAGGATAACAAGAAACTGTCTTTTGACTCCTTTTTTCCCACATTCCAGAGTCCTTCCTGGGAGGATGCACTAATTCACACTCTAGGCAGTTGGATTTTACCAGGACACTGTTTGCCACCATTTAGGATCAGCGACTGAACTGGTTATTGAAGTGTGTTCACTAACTAGTGGGACCTGAATGAATGGACCCATACCTGCAGTGTTCTGTGATGTTTCTTTCTTCAAATCCTGGAAGGGCTTTTCTTGCTATTTGGGATTTCTTTGTGGGGAGGGGGGATTTTTTTGGAATTCAATACTTGTTGCAATAATTGCCCATGGTAGCTGCTCAAACAAGAGAGTTGGGATTCATCTGTGAGAATCACTCCATGTAACATACGAGACGAGGAGAAATATTAATGACGGAAGATCTGCAAACATGATGCACGTGAATAATTTTCCCTTTAGAAGGCATTCCTGGATATGGTGAGTAATCAATACCCCCTTCAGTTTGTAAAACTCAGAATTATAAAATTCCATGACAGGGTCGGGTTTGTCTTGAATATTGGTATCAAATGAGGATGAAAAAGCAAAACATTGTTTAAAACCAAATGCTGTCTGAGAAAGTAGTGGTTATGCAATAACAAATTACTTAAGATAAAAGCATCCCCCCCAAAAGAAGTCAAATATGAGAATATTTACAATTGGTAACATTTCATAGAAGGAAAAAAATAAAAAACAAATTGAGAATGGCAACTATTTAACTCATAAAGGAAAAAGGGAGGGTTTTCTCTGTTTGTTTTGCTCTTCTGTTTTCTTTGAAAATTCCCTGGGGAAGGATGCACACATATTTATGACATCTAATAATCAATTTGTTTGGCCTTAGGTCCTTCTGAATCTCCAAAAGAATATTAAGGGAAAACTTAAAAATGTTAACTCTATTTAAAAATAATACTAAGATGTGTTGCTGCCTTACATTTAAGGAATATTTTTTAGCTATTCAAGAAATATTTCTACCAGAATGAACGAATCTGATAGATTTCGAACACATGAATCATGAAGTGCTCAGAATTTCATAGAACTTGGGTAGTGCGTTGATACCTGGCCATGTATAAAGGTTCATTGCAATGTATTAAGGACCTAGAGTGTGTGACATCATGTTCCCTTTCTTGTTTGGGTTTATGACTACATGTGTATAGGAAATAATTGCTGAGGATATTATAAGGGCAAAACTCATTATTTTAAAATTGCTTGTTTTCACTACACTTTTAGGGCTGACTGGATTCAGTTGCTCATAGCAGAAACTTTGTGAATGCATGCTAAAGACACATTTTTTTTTTAAAGGTTTTGTGATTACTAGCATGGCTTGCTTTGGATACTGCAATGTGTCTGATTTTTGAGAGTGTATTTCCCATGTAAATTTTTTGACTGTCTTCAGGATAAGCAATAGAAATCAAAATAGAAGTTTCTGAAGGTTTTCTTGGCTGCTTTTATAACAGTGTCTCAAATGAAAGCTTCCTAATATCTTGAGGCGCCACCAAAATCAGCTGCTGGTTTGTTATAGACATTTCACTTTGTTAGCTGAAAATCAGTTGCAGAATAGAGTGGGTGATATCCCCTGTCACTCAAGGCAGGAGCTCATTTTCTGTCAATACCAGATCCATCCAGAATCAATGCTGTGACGTATATTTCTTCTCTGCTGTCCAGAGCCACTGTCCCCTGTGTCTCTACTGTGTTTGGGAGGGAGTCTGGGAGACATGCCTGTCAACCTAAGTGGCCCACTTCCAAGTGCATCACCAGAGTTCCTGACTCAGTGGGAGCTTTGGTGCCACTGCCTTCTGATGGTAAGGGTCAGTCATCAGCAATAAGGTCCTTGTCATTCTTACAGATACATACACATAAATAGTCTTTATTGAGTTAAAAAGGTCTTGGAAACTGTCCCTGACATATAGTAGGCATTTGTCAAAAATTTATTTATTTTTTCTTATTCCTTATGCCTTACTTCAATGTAATTTTTGTACCTATTAAGGTTTGTTTAGGGGAAAAATTACCATTCTCATTTCCATAAGGTATACCTTGCTATAAAGCAACAGTTTTTGTTCTGCCTAAGCCCTGCTTGGGTCCATTTGTTTATGTTGCAATAGGTAGGGTGCATGCATTCTTTGAATCCCAAATGTTATAATCACCTTTTATTTTGTTGCATTTAGCTCAGCTCTACTTTTAACTGTAAAGAAATGAGCTATTCAATTCTATGGTTTTTGAAAGAATGCAAATGTGCTTATTCATGGTCCTCTGGATCTGTAATATATATATTTGAAAGCTGTATAGAGAAGTTGAGCATCCTGGTGGTTTGCTTTTGTGCCTGAGGCTGGGTAACCCTTCATAGATTTCACTGCATGACAGGCCAGTCTGGTGTGGGGGTGGTCATACTGAGGCAGTGTGGCCTAGGAGTGTTCTGTGTATTTGTTCTTGCCTGGGCCCTTGAGAAGACTTTAGTAATAAGATATTGAACTCAAAGGAAGAAGGTGGTGTTTTTTTTCCAGGTGACCCAATTACTACTGTCATTGGTTCTCAACTTACCCAATTGTTGCTTTTCTCTCATTTCTAACTTGGCCTTTCACTTCTGCGGTAAGAGACTCCAGGAGTTTGCTGACAGAAAAGCTTTCCCTTTGTCCTACTGTAAGAGTCCCTCTTGGATTAGGTTCCATGCTCATGAATTACCATGCTAAAAAGAAAGGCTTTGCCACATTGTTTTCCTTTCCATTTCCAAAGGCTCTCTTTCCTCATTCTCACATTAAGGTCTTTTTACACAAAGGGGCCTATCAGAAGTTGTCCACAGATCAATGCCAGGGGATGATAAACATTTTAAAGGGGATGTGTGCTGGATTTCATGAGCTCTAGCTCATCTCTATGAAGGCTCTAAACCCTTTGGATAGTAGGCAGGACGTGGGTGCACCCCCGACTCTTGCTTTTTGAGAAGCAAGAGGAGGCAAAATGGAGATACAGAGGGTCCAGAGTTGTCTCCACAGTGTGTCAGAGGTAATGATTCCAACAGAAGCCTGTGTTTCCACTTTGACTCATCCTCCTGTCCTCCGGCTGGTGTGCTGATAATTGAGTAATAGCATTACAGATTTATTGTTTATTGGCTACAAGTTAAAGTTAACAAGTGGTCTTATTACTTGTCTAAATAGAACACCACCTCGAGTGCTAAGAGTGCTGTGAAGGATCTAGTTTTCTGGTTTCAAGCTACCATAGGAACACTTGCTGGAGGTTGTTGCGAAGGTTTCTTTCCATTACACTTTTCGACCTTTTTACTGCCAAGCCAAACAAAGATAAGGACCTCACTAGGCAAATAAGTACTATATAGCTCTTTTTATTTTCTATTCTGACTAGTTGTGAGGATGTAGTGGTGACCTGGCAATTCAGGAACAGGTCTTCTTCCATGATTGGAAGAAGGGAAATCCAAGTCAGCTTTCTAGGAAAGTCAATTTCATTTAGTAGCAATGAAACATCATGACATGGACTCATATGCAGGGATATAACAAGAATGACACAACATAGTGTGCCTTACATGTTTGTAGCTTTTGGCCTTACTTAAGAGATAGGTAACAACTTTACATAACCTGAGTTGTAAAATGTAAAATGTAAAAATGTAAAAATGCTGTAATTTCATGCCAGAGACACTAGAGCCATGTTGAATACAACTGAATTTTACACTTAAAAAATTAAGGTGGGCATTTTATTGCAATATCTTTTTGTCCTTTTTATGATGGACTCGAATGACTCAGAGAGAAGACAGAGGGGATAGAAGCTGCTAGGCTGTTAGGGGATGCTGCACGGGGCTGCTGAGGAAAGCCAAGGAAGGTTTGAGATTGACTGTAGATAGTGATTAACTATTTTACTTATTTGGTGGTTAGGATTAAACTTTTTAAAGCCCACATATCTAAATAGCCTTTATCAAACTCTCTTTGTGATGCTGAGAGATGATTCTGATCAAGAGGCAAATAAGTTGACTATGTTACCTTGACTCAACATTCAGGCTTCTTTTTCCTATTTCTAGGCCTCATATCCTTCCTTGGACTTTATGTTTCCAGGTTCGTAAAAGGCTTCATCTAGCAAGTCATAGTGTAGCTGTTGTTCTTCTGTAAGTTAAGGGTCAACTCATATACTAATTCATTTTGTTTTGTTTCCTTTAATTTAAATCCTTTCTAGAATGAGGCAAGATATAAATCAATATGCCAATAATACCATATGCATATGTGTGTTTTATATATATTTATTTATCTATATATGCATATAGATATATATATCAATAACAAATCCAATGAATAAATAAATGAAGAAAGGACAAATGGCCTGCCTCTTAATAAAAGGATAACCCTTCTTATCTAGACTCTTCGAGTATTGAGTATTATTTTTGAAGTTCTTCTCTTCATGTATTGAAACTACAGAAACTCAACCCAGAATTGGATTTTCCTGAGTTTATGTTCTGGCCAGTGATAATAATCTCACTTGTCTTACGACAATTTTCATGAGTCGGAGAAACATTCGCTTTGATCACTGTATATGCATCAAAGAGCAAAGGTATTAAGTTTCCTGCAAGAAAATGGAGCTCTGCTAATTTTTGCCAACCTAAAATTTCTGTCAGGGTCCTCTTGTCTTCTAATGAGATTTCAAGTCATTGCTGACCTTGCTTCAGTGCCATCTCTTTCTCTGAGTGACACAACTACTCATAAATACTAGAACAAAAATACCACCAAACTCTCAGCTTGATTCTGAATTTCTGATAGGGCCAAATATAATTTATGGCAATAAAGTTTAGATAGAGCTCATAACTATACAAACTCAGGTTGTTCACAAAGTCCTGGAGGTCCATAGTTTTAGCTCAACCCATTGTTTAAGGGAGAAGTTCAGGTTTAGATATAATATAGCCAAGTTGTTGCTTTAGAAGAAAGATTGATACTATTAACCATATAATTTTTCTCTTTCCTTTCTGTTTTCTGTCTTCTGTTGCCTGTAGTGGTATTCTCCTTAATTTCTGTTAGTACTACCTTGTAGTTTTAAAATAAAAAATAAAAATTCTATATATTTGTTTTGATTTTTTAAACAAGGAATGGTATGCTAGAGGAGGTAAGTTGCCCTGGGTAATGTCTGTGTGCCCACACTTATGGAAATCAAATGTCATTTTTAGCCCTGGTAGACTTTCCGTGACAGTAAAATAGCATACTTTAAACTGCTGCTGGGTTCCATCCCCAGTGGCCAAAGTGAGTGGCCCATGTCAGGGAGATTTTAGACAATCTTTATAAGGGGAAGAAAGCAGAAAATATTTTCCATCCTATGAAAGTGACTAGCTGTGAATGTGGGGTGTTTGCTTTGATTAAATTTTCCATTTTCCAGCCCTCTCATTGCTAAATTCTCCACTTTCCAGCCCCTCATTCCCGCTCACCTCTTAGCCGACTGTTACTGAGTTTCTTCCACTAATGCTG